AAAACCAAAAAAAACCACGCATTTTGCAGAAAAACACATACGTGATCATAAATTTGTCACAAGTCTATGCGTGATAACGAATTATCACGAATTCAGGAGAAAATCTATTTAAAATTAGAAGAAATTGGTTTTATTAAAAATATAAAAACGGTCATGCAGTAACTTGAGTCATTAGAAGGCTTTCGTTATCTTGTTCGAGAATCAATCGATTCACAAAGAAAATTTCTCTTCCTTAACCAACACAACACAACACAACTTAGCCAACCACGCAGAATCTAGGAGGCGCGTGCGGTCTTTGCACGTTTCCAACCAACCGTTAATTATGTGACTAAAACCCGGACCCCACCGGGCTTCGCCCCTGGTCCCCCTGGTGGCCCCGTCCCCCAGCCAAATGGTGTATAGTCACGCATTTCAAATCTCTCAGGTTGGTAACTACCGTATGTCAATTAGTCATATTGAAGTAGGCCTATAGCCTACTAATATCGTCTGCGACAGTGTCGTAGCTACGGGTAATGCGGCCAGTGCAAAGCACTGGGGCCCAGGGCTATTAGGGGCCCATACATAAATAGACCTAAATATAATAATTTCCAAACTAATATTTTCGAAGAATAAAACCGCCAGCGGGCCCCTCAATAATATTCGGTTTTAGAGGAGTAATTATTGATGTGTTGATTTAAAATGTGGTGTATTCAAGGGTACCCAGTCGGCCGGAACCCACCCCATATTTTTTTTCAAAATTACAAAAGAAATGGGAAAAAAGGAAATTATATATAAATTTGAGTCTGAGATTGCCATTTTCGGCCATCTAGAGGTGCTATAATGATAAATATTCTTACCTCCTCGGACCCCCTATTTCGAATGCCCTGACCCGCGCCACTGAAATTAGTAAACTTTTGTGCACCAATTTTCTTTATTGGATTGGAACAGCTGCTGAAACCGAATATGCCCTAAAATAGTTAGGAATTAGATTATCATTAGTATTTATTACTATAGCCAGGGAGGGGGAGGGTAAAAGAAGCTCTTCTTACGATGAATTTTCTGAGAACTTCAGGTAACTCCCTTATCACAAGGACCCGGCAATTAATCTTGCACTGGGGCACTTTCGCACGCACCCATATAACTACGCCACTGGTCTGCGGTTCGCAGAATCATGGGATCACGACGTAGAAACAAGCCACGACCACACCCGTAAAAATTGATAAATGGAAGTACGATAATCATCATTTATAGCTGTGACATGACCCTAGGAAAGTATTCGGTGAGAAACGTGCATCAACTCCCAAATAACCAATTTACCCACATAAACATAACATAAAAACTAAGCCTATTTGGGAACAAGTCAATGTAAAGTATTTCTGAAATATAAATTTTTTGAACAGCCTACACACTTGTCACTTTTTTCCAAGGGAAATTCAAAAGCCACACAAATCAAACATAAACAGTATAGCCCATATCAAATAAGAACACACCTTTCTGAATAGGCCTATGTACTTTCCAAGCCACACGCAACTACCATAAACTTGAGCTCTTTGATTTAGGGAAAATGTCCCAAATATTATATGCAAATTATAACATAAGGTACTGGATAGATTATGATCAAATAATTATTAGATAATGTTTTCTCGGTTAATCAGCATATATCGGTTACCAATTATATATGCCCAAATGCACTTACTTCGGATGGGGAACCGGACTCATGTACAAAACGAAGGCCCTATTAATATACAAAATATAGGCCTAGTTCTTTGGCCGGATGTACGAATAATGTGCGTTTCCATGGTACCAATAATAAACCTACGAGAATTTAGTACACTATTATCAACAGACCAAAACAAAATCCTATATAATAAGTTTGTGTTGCTAATATGAAAAAGCGGATTAATTCCGTATCTGGGCTGTGTTGAGTCGGTGACCTATATTAGTAAGATATTTTCAATCTGAATTTAAGCCTAAACAACAGGTCCCATAACGTCAGAGCTAAGGTATTTTGTATTGAAGACAGCAAGGATGTGTTCCCAGCAAGGAGCTACCTGCAAAGGTCCCGAAAGGTATCGGTCCACAATGCAAGTTTTTGTAGGAATGCACATTGCTTCCTCGTCACTGTAACGCCGAAATATTCAAACGCTATATCTTGTCAACCTGCACTATTCCCATGACAACGAACGTGTCAGTAACACTCAGACAATGTGTTACTCACACGTACCCGTGCATTCCGTTCAGTTCAAGTGAGCTTGTTCAAAAGTTCTTTAGATTCCACTTTTCTCGGTAACTGAGACTCAACCAGAGAGGAACAAGTTCATTACTAATTAATCCTGACGTCACCAATAACCTTGCGACATTAAAATGAAAAAAAAAAAATAGGAAGTCAACCACAAAACGAATAATCCCCTTGTTTTGTTAAAATATCTTAAAATCGACAATACGTCAAGGACTCATTGAAAATTGTTCACCTGAAAGTAGGAGTGTACGGTCCACTAAACCGCTAGCATAATATAACTAGAACAAGTTAACAAATTCCATTGGATGAAAGTATTGCATTGTGAATTCTTTAACAACAAGTGGTATGACTCAAGAAATATGTTGATATGATCATTTACTGAATCGTCAAAACAACACACTGCTGTCAAGTTTTGGCGATCGTCCACCAAATAGATCAATATCGATTAAAAAAATGCAACGACACTATTTTGTTCGCAATTACAAGGTAATCTTTTAAATGGCGTCTTGAAAAGAAGCACTAACGATACTTCTATCGTGCATGTAACAAAACATTACCCCATAGCCCAATTTTTATAGTTTGCACTATATGGGAGAATATAAATGACGGCACCAAAGGGTGGCGGTGGGCCGTCTGACGAAAATTATCTGCCCATTCATCCTGATTGCAGTTACATGTAGCTTAATCGTATTTTGGTCTAACAACCAAAATTGTAAGTATCCTAAACCATCTCTGCCTTGGTCACAAGGGTTATACACCCGGTCGGCCATGTAGCTACGTGGTTCAGAACCTGGGGCTTGTCGAACTCGGTACCCCTTTCGCAAAAGACCCAACATTGTAGATGCATAAGGCATGGAAGAGAATTCAGACTACATGAGAATTATTTTGAAGCACAAAGTAAGTTCCTATGCGAATAGTGTGTATCAACTTGCTTCTGTCACTATTGCGAAGCAATCTAATCTATTTGAAATGCGTATGTGTTAGTAGTTTTCCCGCACGTTTTTCTACCATTTCGGGGATTTTTTTTCCAACATAATTTTGAGAAGTGACCAATTCAGTTAGAAGGTGACGATATCAAGCCACCGCCCTTATGGTTTGTTTGTGTGGGTGCTGCAAGAATATGACGTAAACAAATGAAACTCTAAAACTTGCGCTGAATGCTGAACCATGGGTGAGAGGCCTTTTTTGTCCCTGGTCCTACCAAACCGGCCTTCCATTCTAGGCTTACTATGAAACAAAATTTTTTTTTTATGCATTGCATCGAAAACAGATCTTATGCTCCCACCCCTTATGACGCCCCTAACATAAAGTTATGCATCCGCTCACTAGTGACTTGGGTTATTATTGTCATGAAATTTGAAAAAATTTCTGAAGCGTCAAAGAACTTCGATATTATAATTTGCGGTTTTTTGTTTAGCTCTGAGCGTTATGCGTAGGCCTTATTTTTGAAAGGTATTTTCGGTTGTTTATATACGCGATCTCCTTCCGAAGACAACAATTGCAGAACAACCAATAGGAATACATTATCCCTACAGAAATACTTTATGTACCTATTTAACTCCACCAGGGGTTTATTTTGGCACTAATAGCCTAATAGATTCATTTATTATTTGAAGAATCAATAGCTGCTGCAGACGAAATAATAAAACGAAATAATTATTAGTTAAGGTTGAAATTGTATATATTATATATATATATATTTTTAAAATTAATTGAAATTTTAACTTTTTGTATTGTACCTCTGAAGGTCTTGTCCTCTACAGCCGTAGAAACATGGAATTTTTACTGAATGTATATAAAAATGTATAAGATATATAGAACATTAATACTGGTAGTAAAAGTCAGTCATAATATATAACATTGACTACATTTATTAAGTTAACCAATTAACGTTATTGCACAATTCTTTACAAAATCGGTGACAATACATTAAATTGCATAAATAAAATCTCTTGAATTGGAATTCTCGCTTATTAGCGTTTGTTCACTCAAACTACTACAAATGACATGTCAATTACACATACAGTTACACCAAATTTTAAAAATATATATCATTAATATCTTATAATATTGGGTTCAAAACAGATTTTAAGTAAAATATCCATTATTTGGGGATATGTTTAACGATTAGGTAATGTATATAACAAAAAACTGAAAAAACTGCTGAAGGCACTTATACATATGTATTCCTAGCTTATACATATGTAT